GTGTTATCTCTATTATTTATTTCAATTCAATTTTACTTGTATTCTTATATATAAGTTGATTTGTTTTGTGATGAAGAAAAACAATGTGTCAACTGTAATGTCTTGAATCTGAATTCCAGTATTATGTAAAGTCCAACATTGTTGTTAAAGTTAATAAATAATAATAATAATAATAATAATTATTATTATTATTATTATTATTATTATTATTATTATTATTATTATTATTATTGTGTGTGTGTATGTTTCTGAGTGTCTATTTCATCACTCATCATCATATTATTATTACTACTAGAAAAAAGTAGTAACTACATTAATAAAGTAATTAATAATTGCATTTTTTTAAATATTTTCCTATGAAAATAGAAAAATGTACATAATTCTAACGGTATGCTCTTAATATTAAGCAATTATAAAGACTTCCAAAATATGCACCACTCACACTAATGTCATCATGACTATTCTGCCCCCCTGGCACAACATTACCACAAACAATGAAATTAAAATGGCACACACACACACTTGAAACATCACTTGAGGGAGACACCAATTACACTACTTGATCTTGACAATCTCTCAAGAAACCTTTTAACAAAACATTGTCTCCACCTAAATAATGTGGGCAAGCAGAAACATGGTGCCATGTTAACACAACAAGTGTTGAGCACTTTTCCATCTTCGCAGTCACACACTTCATCCCCACCTATCCCACCATCTACACCAACTTTCACATTACCTTCTCCATCTCTACCTACCCTGTCACCACCACCTCCATTTCATGATCCTATCCTAGTAGCCACTCTTGTTACTCTCACACCTGCTCCAACTGCCTCTCTCCTAGCCCTAATCCTCAGCCAACGTACAACTTTCTTTGCAACTGCAGACCACCTGCAGCAACTAAACTACACTACACAAGCCCACAACACACAATAACAATTATCTACATGTACTACATCAAAATGTTCATTCTTTAAGAAACAAGCTCACAGATTAAGAAATATCAGCTTGAACATGACCTACAACACTTAACATTATTATGCTTTAGTGAACATTGGTCAACACAACCACTAGATAGCACACACATTCCAGGTTTCACCCTAGGTGGCTCATGTAGGGAAATAGGCAAATCATGCTCATGATGGTACTTACTTCTTTGTTAAAAATTATATTAATTATCTGTCAATCACAGATTACTCTTCTCTCTTTAAAGATAAAAACTTTGAAATATCTATTACAGACTTACCGAAACAAAGAGTATGTACCACAGCTTCACAGGAAATACAAATGTTTTCCTAAAAATCTTGAAATTATTCTTGTTAGACTTAAAAACTATAATATTATATTTTGTGGTGATTTCAATATCAGCTGTTTGTCAAAATCAAATGAAGAGAAACTATTCAAAAATTTACTTAAATATTTCAACTTACAAACTATTATAAATCAACCTACCAGAATATTTTAAAAAAAGCAGTACCAGCATTGATCAAATAATAATAGACACAAATAATTGCAGCTATTCAGTTGTTACATATAACAGTGTTTAGTGACCGTACAGCGCAAATACTCAAACTCAAAATGGACACAAAATTTATTAAGGAAACACTTTCTCTATAAAGTCAAAACTTCTCTCAGGAAAACTTAAGACAAATTTTATCCTTTAATAAGTTCAGAAAACTGGGAGGTGTACAAAGCAACAGAACATGAACACTAAATTTAATTTATTCATAAACATATTCCAAAGTTATTTCAACACTGTTTTTCCACAAACACTGAAGAAAATAATCTTCACCTTCTTAAATGACATACTTGTTGCTCTAGATCAGAAAGAAATCCCCATTAGTTTGTTTCGAGATTTATCAAAAGCATTTGACATTATTGACCATCAGATATCCGAACTTGAAAATTAGAGGCATTGCACATTAATGGGTTAAATCTTAACTTTCAAATCGTTGTCAAGTAGTCACAATCAAGCATGTTAGAAATAAAAAGATTTCTACTCATTTTTCCCAACCTAGAAAGATAAATTATGGAGTGTCACAAGGATCAATTCTAGGCTCTATACTATTTCTATTATACATCAATGACATGCCCCTGACCCTACAAAAGAGCAAAATAGTCATATTTGCAGATGACACAAACATTATTATTGAAGCAAATACGCAACAAACTCTACAAAGAGAAGCACAAACAGTCCTACAGGTACTAGTAAAATGGTTCAAGGAAAATAAACTTTGTTAACACCAGTAAAACTGTCTCCCTAAACTTTCGGAATCCACTCTAAAGAAAAGCCTCCAGCACAATTGATGATAAAAAACATGCCAGTAAAAACAACTTTCTTTGGATTGACTATTCAAGATTATCTAAAATTGAACTCCCATATCACAAATCTAAACAACAAGCTTACAAGTCATGTTATGCCATTTACATTCTTAAGTGAAATTCTAACTTAGATACCTTGCAAACGGTGTACTTTGCAAATGTTCACTCACACCTAAAATACAGAATAATATTCTGGAGAAATTCCCTAGGAAGTATTCACACTTTCATCATGCAAAAATGAATATTTAAAACAATGACAAACACTCACAAACATAAGTCCTGCAAAACACTTCAAAAAACTACAAATACTACCCCTCCCTTGCATGTACATATTTGAAATATTAATCTTCACAGCCACCCCCCCAAATCAATAATTTGCTATCCTACTCGTCCTGACTTACATTCTGATTACTCAAGTCTAGAAAATGGCAATGATTATTTTTGGGCATATTCTTTTATGGAAAATCTCTCTTCTTGGTCCAACAGTAGTTATCCAACACGGAACTATTTTTGCCTTTAATACTTGTTTCCCATTGTAGAAATTTACAGATGAAAACACTCACACTCACTCATTGCTGACATCCCCGGATTTTCCAAGATTTAAAGTCAAGAGTCTAAGAAGTGAATTTTCAAAGACATATTTCATCCCATAGCTTTACAAAAATGCAGAAAATTTGTCACATGTCCAATAGTTTTCTGCCTTATAGTTTCAAAGGAAATTGCGATATAAAGTTTTGAAAGATTACCAGGCTACTTATTCTAGTGGATTTAATTGTTCTTCAAAATGTTCATCAGCCGTTAATGACTGCATTTGTGGTCCTAAAATATCCTTTCTTTCACTTTAGCATCACTTACTTTGGGATATGTCAATTTCAAGTACAAGAATCCATCACAAAGTTTATCTATAGCTTTTACAAAATTTTTCATTCCTCTGAATTTCACATGCAATGGAGGTAAATATATTTCTCAATATTCAAATGGACATGTGAAAAATTTTTTCTGGCCAGGGGTATGAGATTTCTTTAATAATTTTGTCAAATAGAAATAACAATATTTTAGATGATCCTTCGGTTACCACCAAATCATAGCAATTGCAAATGGCATTTGAAGGGAACCATTTTTCTATCAAATCAACGGTCTTAAAATAAAACATATTTGTTGTCCAACTCTTTTCAAAATCACTAACTTGACAGCCAAAGTAATGTTGATAATACTTTTTCGCAAGTGGTGTTAAATTTTGCTTCCGAGTCTTTCAAGTCAGCTCACACCGCTTAAACCAGCTAAAACACAGCTTATACAGTAAACCTGTAAACCTAAAGGAAGGAAATATATCACTAGCGATACTCTTGTCAACAAAGCTTATAATCACTTCAATACTGACACATCACAATGTCAGATTAACTGGTCTGAGCATGTAAAAATGTGAATGAACCTGCACGGTGTTGCCTGTTGGTGATTCAGCATGATATTACATAAAATTTCTTTAAATACAGCTAGAATAAAATTGCTACATATAAGGTAAATATTCCTATGACATGTCAAAGAGAATGTGAAAAACTTCAAATGAAGTCAAAAGAATTTTATCGAACACTCAATAGTTTTCTTTGTAAAGAAGTTCAAATTTCAAATTTACAGTAGCACTTACATGCCATTTTTTTATAAACAGCTCAAAATTTTTCAAATAAAATTACAATTTAGGACGATATTTACGGTTCTTTAATATTCTTAAAATAATATTTCTTTTCTACTATTAGGAAACCAAAAATTTAAGAAAATTTCAAAAAAATGTAATTTGGGCAGTGATAGATGACAGCTGTCAAGAGTATGTGGCAAGTTCGAATAGCTAGCTAAGTCCAATGGAAATAGAAAACTAAAACAGGAAAGTCCGTGCCATTCTGTAGCACCACTAGTTAATGAATGATACCTAGTTTATAAGACTATTTTCCTGAATAGTAACGACTCTTACAAATTCTCTCTCTTCTCCAGAGCAATGAAATTCCCCTCCCCAAGTTTTTCCAGAAAGTGCTCACCCTGTGTTTTGCATTTGGACAGAGTTTTTCAAGAGATTGCAAAAGTGTTTTTAGCACATAAGTAGCAAGATATTCTTATGTACCTGTTACAATTAATATATACGAGAATGTGCTGATATAACACCATTACTTTTCCTTACTAATAATAACTGTGTAAAAATATATATGTAATAAGAAATGGAGAATACCTACAAGAATTTGCATTTTGAAATTATCAAACTGTTCTAGAATTTAGTTTTTATGTGTTAAGTACATAACACAAAAAGCACAACTAAAAAAAAATTGTTCCATGTGCACATATTTCCGCCTGAGGCATTTATAAAGAAGTGTTTAGTAAGTACGTTGAAGATGTTTTCTCTCTTTCCCACATTACTTCTCATATTGATACGAGTATGCTGATAAGATTCTTTTTACTGCACAAATCCATAGTACAATTTTCCCCCCATTTTCTTTCATTTTTGACTTGTAGACAATAAAAAACCACAGAACTTTTCAGTAAAAAAAATAAAAATCAGACATTGCAACTTTTAACTTCAATGTGTTTCTTTAGTCTAAACCATTAACATTTCACATTTAAATCAAGAATAGAATTTGAACAAAATATGAGAATTTTGTCAACATGAAAACATTTTGACAAAATGGAAACAAACTATAAAAACATTCATGTAACCAGAAATAAAACACCTTTAAATTTTAAATTTTTTAATACATAAGGAGGTATTTCTTTTTACAATATTTTGATGATTTTTACGAGCTAAATACACATATTGTAGTTCTAGCCACAGATAAAAGCTAGTGAATATAAGTAAACGCACATTTCACGAATATATACATCAACTGCCCGATTGAACATCACGTAGGGAAAGAACCCCGTCTCACTCATGCATGCATATTATGTACACCGATATATGTATTTTTTACATGTATAAACAAATCAATATATTCAACCAATACACCACAGACAAAATACCATACATGGCTTCCTACAGGAAATAGATTTTGCAAGTGGCCAAGTTTTGTTTTCAACATAATGGAGAGCCCAAGCACACAAATAATGACATTTCACTTAATAAATAGAAATAACTTAACAAAAACATTTTGAAAACTTTCATTCGTGTGGTGAAAATATTCCTAAGTTCCCTAAACACAAAATATTTAAAGAGAAAGTAAATAAAAAATACCTCCAAAAATAGATTATTACATTGTTGTAACTTAGATAAGAAAATGTAATTAATCACAAATATCAGGTATTCTCACAGCAACATAATTAAACTATTTGAATATATACCAACAAAACAGGTTGCAGTAACTGATTTGATGAATGCCACATGTTAATTCTTTAAAATAAAACTTTAATATTCAGCTGCGAACAAAAATGAAAGTCAAATATAGCATAACAGACATATTTCGACATGATGTAGCATCTCAAAATCAATATCTCGCAAAACAGTATTCAGATAATTTTCTTTATTGCCAAAAGTAAGTTAGGAAGTCTACTATAATAATAAAAGATTTTTCACAAAATAATATCATAAGAACATTGTGTCATGATATCGAATCTGGTTGGGTTAATTCAATAATGATGTTAAGAAATAAAATTGGCATATTTCTCAGGCATGCCACAAAGCTGCTGAAAATGGGTTCTATCTTTAATAACGCCAAAAAAAGAACAATAATATTGTCCATTTTCATACAAACAATTACACACAATGCGAGTGATTTTGTAACATGCAACTACTTTCTAGAATATCTTAAACAAAATCATGTAGAACTCTCATGAAATAGCACCAACTTGCAAAAGCAATGTATGTACAAAGCATGCACAGAATAACATCACATCTGGGACTCCATATATTCACACTTTGTATTTACAAAACACACACCTGATTGACTCTCATTTGTGTTCTTTGTCCAAGCTGAACGGTCAATGGCATTTACAAAATTGATAGAATGAAACAATAATACCTGATGAAACTTCTGTAGTAATTGAACGACAGGAATATTCAAATATAAAACAAAATTCTTCGAGAAAATAATATACTGTAGAATTTGAGGTTTCCAAAATAGAGCACATTTTTCACTACCACCAAATTACAACATAGCCATGTAGAATTGGTACTTACAAATCAGTTAATACTGCCTCTGAGCATGTCCCTTCGTTGCGCTCTTAAATCACACACACATATATATATATATATTATAAATGGAAATGATCCATCAGCAAAAAAATAAAATCACAAGTTTCATATGATACCCAATGCAAATCTCGCATCAAATGTAATACATCACTACATCCTTTTAATGGATGGGAGAGACAATGAATTTTAAGCTTCTGTTACATAGAACGAAGGGCAATAAAAACATATTTACAGGAGGATGGGACGTGAAATAATGCACTAACATTTAATGTTGACTCCTGAACACTACGCACAGAATTTAAATGTAAGGAACAGAAGTGTATGTACATGTATTTCAATTCCTGTCAATAAGTTTTGCATTGCATCTTCCCTAAAGGCAGCTATAGACTTTCATCACTGTCTGTAGCATGAAGAGTAACAAATTCAGCTCCTTCCTGCGATGAGGATTCATGAACATGAGATGAACAGCCTTCACTAGGAAAATCTTCACCTGTAAAAGTACAAATATTTTCTTAATATTTTACATCACAGTTTGATAATTGTTTCAGTAATAAATAAAAATACTCTTGGCAGTAAAAAACAAAATGAGTCTTCACCTGGATGTGCTGCTGATGGATCTTCCTCTCCTAAATTACGACTCATAGCAGGATCGATAGCCTCTTTTATTTGGCTGTTGGCTCCTTTTGGATCCAAGTCTGTGGCCCAACTAAAGTGCATTAATGCTAAATGTGTATTTCCTAACTTTTTATGTACCTACAAAAAAAATTCACCATTATTACCATTATCAGAACTGTATTGTGTTACTACTTGTGTACTTATTCCAACACATTCATCAACAGTGCAGCATAATGCAACATCAATAAAAATTAGACAAGACATAGGTCATCAAACTATCCTTTTACCCACAATGAGAGAATGAAGTGATTATAAACTTTTGCTCCACATCCATCTGCTGAACTGCTTTTCTCTCTCCTTTTGCTGCTGCTGCTATTTTTTCGTTCCCTCCCTTCTTTTTCTTTTTTCTCCTCCTCCAATTAATCTGCTTTGCACATTCCTGCTGTCCATCTGCCCTACCATTTGGCCAGCTCTGCCTACTCAGCCCTGCCTTGTGTCACATGGCAATACCCAGCAACAATGAAGCCCAGAAGGAGTGAGAATTGAATTTAACTAAATATTTTAAAAAAAATAGAGGTGACACTTTTGAATCATAACCTCACTATTTTTCATACAAGGTACATCAATGCATTTGAGCCAGATTTGGGAACACTCACTCCAGAGTTTAAAGTTTTTGTGGCATATACAAACATATGCGCTCACTTTTATGTATTAGAACCTCGAAGATGAGCAATGTTGGGCAAGAGGAGGGGATACAAAATCATAACTTCGTAACCATTTGGAGAACAAAATCTAAGTTAGCCCCATGGGTAGTGTTTATATTTCATGTTGATTGATCAAGTAGTTTTTAAGTTAAATTAGTTCATACAGATGGACAGACAAACAACAACAGATTTCATGTGAGACTCCTTTTAATAATTGAATAAGCAAGTTGAAAAAATATTTAAAAGCAGAAAATTCAAACATTACAAGGAGACACTTCACATTTATTTATCTATTGATGATTTGAAATTTATATTTCCTAATGTATTACTCCTTGTGCAAGCTGACTTTTGGATGATTTTCCCCTTCCAATGAAATTTGGAAAATTAGGCAATGGAAAAATTGTCCCAAAACAAATAACTTTAAACTACAGTATTTTAAAATGTAAAGTCATGACATTTCTCATTAGAGGAGGTACTTAACATTGGTCAGACCAGTATTGCATGAGTTCTGCACAGATTCTGTTCCGCAAGTATTTTTAAATTTTGATGCAGGAATTGCACTTGCTCTCTTCTAGAATTTGTCATTACTACACCCAAATTACCTTTGCTCTAAATAACAGTCTGATAAGATCTCAGAATTTATTATGATTTATATTTTTTAAACAGTTTAATCATTAATAATGTTGACAGATTTATCTGTTTTTGGAGCTACTTGAGAGCCCCAACAATTCAACTGAAAATCAGAATCATCGCGTTTTTCCAGACACCACTATCTTTATTATGTGCCCATGGAGGATGCAATTATTTGTGAATAATTTTGCTCAGACTTTGAGAACTTAAGGTTTTGTGTAATATTCTTTATCTTGTGGGTTTAATAGTATCATGTATTTGGTATTTGAGGTCTACTGCTGCATGTACATATGTATTTTATTTAAATATTTTCTTTTGAACAATTTCTGGTTTAAAAAATAAGTAAATAAAATAAAAGACTAGTGTGAAACTACCATTAACTATTCTTAAATATTCTAATATATTATGATACTGTATCTTATATAGTAAAAAGTTTACATTCAATTTATATTATTAAAGTACTCTTCTGTCACAAAATAATTTATCTATTCTTGATGAAAAAAATCAGAAAATCTGCAGCATTCTGTTTAATATATAAACATGCATTTAACATTGCAAAAACATTTATCGGTTAAGGTTGTTTGAAAAAAGATAATTCATAGAATTGAGTAAATTATTTGTTGTTTAATTTTTTACCTCTAAAATAAACATTAATTTCAGAAGGGTCAGTCCATTTTAAGAGGTCCAGAATTGAATAAAGTGGTCCTAGACCATAACCACAAAATTCATATTTTGTACATAAATTTCCTGTTTTCACTGTTCAATAACATCTTTAATTTTATTTTTATTGAACCTGGTTTACAAATGGCGGGCATTTTTGTTTTACGCCGTGCGCCATTTTTTGCGTTTGAAGACATTTACTTTTTTCTAAATAACTCAGCTCTGGGTAGTTCTAACATTCTAGAATAAAACGAACTGTATTCAGTTTACTCTGGCCAACATATCAAAATATTATTTATATACCGTCTATGTTTTTTTTTTCAAAATATTTTCAATAAATTCTATAGAACGCGAATAAACGAAATTTGATTTTCAGAGTAATTTTCGGTGCGATGGTGTAACGTTCGGCGAATCGGACTTTTATACCCAAGTTCGCGGGTTGAAATCCGATCTAAAGCCGGCTGTCCCATGTTAGTAGATTTATTGCATGTAACAGATCCTTAAGCCTAAATGAAGCTTCTGAGCTAAATTCAATACGCCTGTTTCGTCGCCAAAGAAATACCCCTTTCACCGCTAGTTGGTGAAGCAGCATATGGATGGCTAGAGAGAGCTGTTCTTCCGCATCGGCCAGAGGCACAAAAAGTAACCGCTTTTCAGTGCGCTTTAGCGCCTAAACGGTATTTCAGAAAATTAAAGTTAATATATGCATTTTGTAGGGCAATTTATCGTCTTTAATTTTGTAAAGAAAAATTGCTTTGATAAATCGCATAGTTTTGAAGATATAGGCAAAACTAAAAACGGGGCGACATCTTAAGGTGTTTTTTTTTCTGCCATTTTCTCAGTGAAGTCGATCTTTTTTGAGGTGGCAGTCATGAAATTTGAAATCAGCACTCTCAAAAACAAAGAACCGTTGAGAAAAAACTTCCAGAATTTTTTCTTTAATCGGGCCTTTTTTAGCACCAATTGACTGGACTATAATGTCTGTGCCATATGAGCATTTGGTTAGCGCGCTTCACCTAACGCTGATGCCAGTTGCGTCGGTGCCAGTTCACACGAGTCATTTAACGTGCTTGGTGGATTAATAATGTATCTTATTCAAAACTACACACGAGCGCTCTTGGCGACGTGCGTTGTTGCAAACGCTCGTCGCCTAGCGGGCGTTGCGTGTTGAAAGCTATAAAAAGCATTTTATCTTGACTTACGTCGTAGCCTGTCCATCTTGCTTCAGCTGTTGGCGCATGCATGTTGCTAAGTGCGCTCGTGTTTCGCATAAGTGTTAATCTACGACGCGCGTTATGTGATGAGTGCACAGGCAACGACTCAATTAACGTCATCAGCGTGAGATGACGCGCGTCAACGCATCGCTCATGTGACCCAGGCCTAAGAGAGGAAGCTTCACGAGGAAGCTTTACATTATCCTTGCTAAAAATAAATGTATTTTTTCCTCATCCTTTAATAGCTCAAACATCAATATGTGGAATTCTTTGTACGTTAACTGCAAATGGGTTTCATGAACCTTCTTCCTATTATTTCATAAATAAATAAATTTTTAAAAAAATACTAGTGGGAAATCATTATAAATGGCTAAAAAACATTTTATTGCATTGGGAAAAATGTAAGTTTTTCCCCCCCTCCTCCCCTTCACAGAAATACCATTTCCGCCCTTCATCCAAAATTGAGAACATTGTTTTATTGTCAAAGGCTACCATCAGTGGATGGCAGGGACTCGTGGAAATATTGCGAAATTTAAAATGCACTTTGCTTCCGTTATACGCCTTCAATTTTCGATTTAAATTACAGTCAGATTTCTATCTGACCTTGTAATATTTTTTATCATGTATCTAACACTGCATATTAAAGCAAATTATAATCCTTTTTGATTGTACATATCTAAATACATTATACTGTACTCATTGTTCCGAAGAAAAAATAATTTCCCCTTATTTACACCACTTTCTCTACGACCCCATTAAAGTGTAAAAGTGGAGTTTCACTGTACTTCACAAATTTTATTCACGAAAAAATAAGGAAATGACCTGAATAACCTTGAAAGGCGAGAAATTCATCATAGAATAAGGGGTGACCGTGATGTTCTTCAAAGTGTGCAATGTAATTTATCTTGATCTATTATTTAGCTGTATTTAGTTGTATAAAAATAAACAATTTGTTCTCGGATATTTTCGAAATGTCCTGAATTCCATTGTTATCCTTATGGCAACCCTAACAGTTGTGATTTTAAACTAGTTTTCACAGTTTCTAAACCAAAACATATCCTCATTACTGATCTGAAGGTAATAGCTTCCCTTAAGAAAAGGAACACACATTGAAAAAGTATGAGAAGGAATATTGTATCATTGACTTGCAATTAATGAGCAAGTAGGAACGTTATATACACTTCACTGTTTCGTTGGATAAAGAAAAGGTTTAATTCATAACCATGTTTTAAGCACCTGTGTTTAATCAGAGACAATTACGCATATAGTGCATTTTACTTACTTTGCCAGTAAGATAATAGACTAGAGACTCTTTGGGTACTATTTCCTTTAATTCTTCCAACTCCTTCAATGCATCATTATGCCGTCCAGCTGCGAAATAAATGGAAGCACGATGAAATTTGCAGAGTGCATTTTTAGGATCCGTAGCAATTGCAGCATTTAATGTTTGCAACGCTTTCTCAGTTTTTTGAAGTGCATGTTGAACCTAGAATAAATAAAATAAAGTACAGTGAAATCGCTACTACACAATAATACTAAACAATAATACAATACTTTATTCAGGCTTTAGAAAACACAAAATATATGTATCATTTTGTATCTCGCTGAGAACACATTCCTGTGTGCGAGACCTGAATTTACAATTTTCACCTAAAATATTACCACTTTTTAAATAAAGAATGAATGAAGAGAACAAATTTTACATTTTAAATAACAATGGATAAATTAAATTATATAATGAGTCGGATTGTAATTAAAGGTTTGGTGTAACGCGAGTTTGAGTAAGGTAGAGAAATCTAAGAAGAAAAAAGAACTATATACAAAACAAATACAAGTGAATATACAAAATATACAATAATTTTGTGACTCGCTGAGGACACAGTCCTGTGCGAGACCTGATAGCACAGAATACAATTTTCTCATAAAATAATATCACTTTTAAAATGAAGAATGAATAAAAAGTATCAAATTTAAAAAATAAAATAATTGAAAATAACTAATTTTTCATTTAAAATAACAATGGATAACTTCCGTTAAATCAAATATTGAGTCGGATCATAATTAAAGGCTCTGTATAAGATAAGATGTATACGATGAGAGTAAGGAAGAGAAATCTACAACGGAAAAAGAACTATATGTTGGTTCAATTATGCCCGTATGCATAAATTAGTTTAGGATATTTTTGGAGACTTTCAGATTTATTTATATAGATTAACAGTATTTTATCCCTTCTGTTCACACAAGTATTCACATCAATCATTAATCAAATTAAGAACATTAAATTAATTCGGACTGTAAAATGTTGTAAAAGATATTTTCCCTTTATAAGTTAATACTTCCAATATTAATATATTTTTTACACACACGCACGCACGCACGCACGCGCGCGCGCACGCACGCGCGCGCGCACGCACGCGCACGCACGCACACACACACGCGCGCGCACACACACACACACACACACACACACACACACACAATACTTAATAGGACCGCCTTTCCATCGTTTGCCTTCAATGGCCTTGCGTGCGATGTCGATGATAAAAAGAGAGAAGGAGAATTGAGGATAAGTATTCCCCGCGGTCAACGCCTTTCCGACTTCCGCTTGAGGGTAGTAAAAGTTTTGAGGCTCACTCATACCCAATACAACTGGTTTTTTATTTTTCCGGGGTGGGACTTCCTTAGCGTTTTTAAATATGCCTACCGCAGCCAGATTTGATGGCAAAATTGGAAGGAAACGGTGTAGAAGGGATTTTCGTAGGGATAGGGAGTCAAGATCCCATAAGCTACTCAGTCCATCCTATTTGGATTTTTGTGGGATGGGAGGTAAAACTAGGTGGGGAGTAAGGATATTTAGGATGGGAAAGGACATGGCGGACAAGCTTTGCTACTTCTTAAGTCCGCACTTTTACACGGGCGATCAGGCTCGAGCGGAGGTGCCCGTGGGCTATTCTAGCAATAAACCCCGGCAACCACACAGGGTAAATGCTGGTATGATGGCTGTGTGTGTGTTAGCAGACTATGCTCCGATTTCGCCACGACCCAAACCATTCTTAGTCCTCGCCGCCCCAGCGGAAGTAGGACGCTCAGAGCTCTATTCATCGCTTGCAACCAGAGGAGGCGGGCCTAAATAACTGGCAATACCATTACGAAACACGGACAGCCTAGCAGGGGCAGTGACATACTGGATTCCCAAATGCACGCCGAATGGCCATGAGCAACTCCACTCAACATGGGCGAAATAGGACAATTATCCGGGTCAGTTGTTCTTCACACCATCGACATCTTACTGCATCTGTCCGATTCTCAACAGCTGAACATGGAGTAGCAATTGAGACTGTTTATCATAATCGCATAGTATTCAAGATGACAGGCTACTCGCATGAGTATAAAAAATTGGGCAAAGGCAGTATCAGCTTCCAGAGTCTACGGTTTGGACGATAGCTCCTCATAGCCAACTGGTGTTTCCCGTGATTGAAAGATCGCGAACATGTGTTCTTATCAGTATAGTCTGGCAATTACGCTTTGCGCACAGCCTCTGGTAATAAGGGATAGGAGGGTGAAGCAGATCCTCCTCAACAAAGATGGATAAGTTGCTGACGCTGAGAAGCAATTTACTGTTCACATAACCACGGGTTATGTTGTCAGGATTCGCCTGGAGCAAAGCGTTAAGAAGGTTATATGACAGAGGTAGGCGAGTTATGATTACAACCTATGGTTCTCTGCAACATATGTACCTGATAGACAGCTATCGACATTGCGAGCGTAGAGAGTTACGAATTGAAGACTCACTCGTAATATTTCCGTGGACTGGTGGAAAGTAGTCCCTAATAACCATAATTCATTCCTCAGGGCCGCTTGATGCTAATGAATTGAGCGAGCGTGGTTCACGCGGGGAAGGAACTAGGTATAGGAATGGGAGGGGTTTTTAGTGGTAGGCATAGGCTAGCTATAAACCCACACGCTGCGGGTTGCGGGCCGCCTTGGTCTTTGGAAGATTTTCCCTGCCCCCTGCAACCAGAAAAAAACAAAAAAAACACACACATAACACACACACAGCGGAGATCCGGCGGTGGCTTACGCTAGTCGGTAGGGATTACAGATGCGCCGCCATAAAACAGAGGAATGTGCCTGGTGACGGGCAGAAAAGTGGAGAGAGTATTACTTCTTAATGTAGGAGGCTGCAAAATATCCTCGCAGGCTGTCACTGAGGTATTTGGGAGTGCATATTGATGCGAGACTGTGCGCTTTACGAGCACCATGCGCAAATGTCTCCGGAAAGCATCTCGTATGGCTCCGCATTGGCAGCAATTATGCCTAATGTAGGGGGTCCTGGGGCAAAGAAGCCGGAGGCTGCTGACTAGCGAGTAGTAAACTTCCATTCTACTCTATCGCAAGCCCCCCTGTTTGGGCTGATTGCTATGGGCATTGCAGTCCCATACGCCCGTGGGGGCTATAGTCGGGTGCATAGAAGGTCCGCCTTGCGGGTTTTGCCTCGAGCGCTTTCGCACGTATCCTATGATGCTGGTGTGTGTGTTAGAGATATGCCTCGATTCGACCTCATTGCGGCAGGAGAGAGCTAGACTCTATTTGCGCAAGCGGGGAGGGGGGGCCTCAAACTGGAATATCATTTAATACCGAAAGAAGAGAGGGGGGTGACAATGGACCTAATGCCAAACGCCGATGGGAAGCAATCATCAAATGGGCGAATGGACATTTCGGTCCATTCCGACTCATGACGTGGATTCAACAGGGAACATGGAGACTTAGATTTTTATCTAACTCAGATGCTGACCAGGGCATGGAATGTTATCGAGAGTATCAGCTTTCGATTCCGGTTGGACGATAGCTCCTCATGCGCCAAGGTGTTATCCCCGCGTGATTTGAAGATGTAGAACACGTGTTCTTTCATTGTCCACGCTCTCGCAGTGGAAAGGGAAGAAACTTTCACAGACCTCCTCCAAGAGGAAGTGACCCTGAGACCATCGTCACTAAGGATGCTGCCTGACACAAGAGTATTGGAGTGCGGTAGCCACCTTATGCGGGCAAACGGTTCCTGAAGACACTCCGCTTCCGGAGGAGCCATGCCTACGAAGAAGTCTCCGTAATATTTCGGCTGACGTGCGAAAAGCCCATCCTTCCTTCTCGCGATTGCATGGCTGACGGCGGTTCCGCGGACGAAGGAATAGGAAGGAAAGGGAGGGTTTTTTTAGTGGGTAGGCATAGGCTAGCTATGAATCCCACACGCAAGCGGGTTGCGGGCCCGCTGTGTCTTTAGAAGATTTTCCCCCCTGCCCACGTAAAAAAAAAAAACACACGGCTATTAGTACGACACACACAGACTCAGGGGTATGTTCAGGCGACACCCACTTGCCCGTTTTTTCTTGGGAAAAGTTGTAGCTACTTGTTTCTCGCCAGGTAAGATATGTTACAACCGAAGGATTTGGTCTGGGAGATCTAAGCGGAGGTTCCGGCAGTCACGTTGGATGAACTTTCCAGAGCTTGCGGCAAGGTCCAAGATTGAAAGCCACCGGATTAGATGGGGTCCCAAATGTAGCAATTAAGACGCTTTAAGACTCGGCCCAATTCTATTCTTGCACCGCATATAATGCATGCAATAGAGGAGGGAATTTCCCCGTCGATGGAAGCAGCAACAGCTAGTCCCTTTTCCGAAGAGGCGATAAGGCACCTAACTGATCCGGCAGCCTATCGGCATATGCTTACTGGACACAGCAGGCAAAGTGTTGGAGCGGATTATCTGCAACTCGTATTGAGCTCATTTACAAGAGGGGCCTTCAAGGATTGTGTGATAATCAGTACGGCTTTGAAAAGCGGAGATCGCCGGTAGATGCTATTAAGGCAGTTCATCGACCATCGCGCACGCCAGGCCATTGAAGCAAACGATGGGAAAGGCGGTCCTAGAAGTATTGTGCTAATAGTGACCCTAGACGTGAAAAACGCCTTTTAACTCTGCAAGTGGAGCTCCCATCTTTCTGCGCTACAATAACTCTTGGAAGTTCCAAGGTACATCTCGAAAACTTGGGTATAAAGTTACTTTTTAAGGAGAGAGTCCTCGCTATATGAAACTGTGTCCTGGGTACAATCTTATACGGTCACAGGCGGTGTTCCCACAAGGGTTCGGGTACTTTTGGTCCGATTGTTTGGAACATTATGTATGACGCCCGTGTTGGAAGCTCGAGTTGCCGGAAGGCGCAAGAAACGATTGGATCGCTGACGATGTTGCAATTGTCGTTGTCGGCCAAATACATCGACAAGTCACGCAGGTTGCAACGAGGCCTGTGGCGGAGATCCGGCGTGGCTTAACTACGTCGGTAGGGGCTGCCAGATGGCCGCCCATAAAACAGAGGCTTGTGCTGGTGACGGGCTAAGAAAAGTGAGAGAGAGTATTACTCTTAATCTAGGAGGCTGCAAAATATTCTCGCGCTGTCATGAGGTATTTGGGGAGTGCATATTGACGCGAGACTG